AAATTCGTACAAAACTATAATAATTGTTAAAAAAATTCTTTGATGGACTAGACATCATTATTTATAATTTTGTAGAAGAAATATCTTAAAATTTTGAGTATAAAAGTGTCTAAAAATTCATACAAGTTTCTGGCAGATTTAATAGTCATATAACCAAATCAAATAAAATCTTTAATCATTTCTTTAATGGCACAAACTACGCATGCAAGTCTAATTTCAAAATTTAACCATGATTTTAAGGCTACTATTAACCTTCAAATATTTGATATACAAATCACAAAATCTACATATAATTATAAATAAAATTCTATTTACAATCATATGAACACAAATCTAAAAATTTCAACCAAAAATAAAATAAAATGAGAGGGTTAAGAAAGTTTTCTTACTTAATAGTAGGATCGAAATAGGATGATGAAATAGTAGAAAAAATTATAAACTTTCTTGATCCCCTACTCTTCTTCTTCTTCCTACTTCGCTTACTTACAAAAAATTTATTTTTTCTTTCTTTTCTCCGATCAGAGAAGAATGCAAGCATATATATATATATATATAGGAGTTCATCGTCTGATTGAGGCTCTCTCTCTCTCTCATTATATCTTCCAATTCCAATATATACAATGAGCCCATCTCCCTACTATTACATGCATGCATACAAGTGTTGAGTGATTAATTACCACACTGCCACTTAATTTCATTTTTATATTTTTTATTTTTATTTGTGTGTGTTTCTTAAAATTAATTAATTCAGGTTTTCAGCTAAGGTATTTAGTAAAGATAATTATTATGTTGAATCCTCATTAAATTAAATTATAAACAATAAATATTGAATACTCACAAAATTATTATTCCTAACAATGTTTTTATTAGTGATTGAATTGGATTTTTAAAAATAACTTATACACTAATATATATTTTAAATAGATTTGAATAAAATTAATTTATTATTCACGTTTTATGATGCAAAATTATTTTATTTATTTATTTATTTTTAAAATAATTAAATGTGGAATGCTAGAGCTAATCAGGCATCACACCTTTTATACTTGTAACGTTTGGGACATATGACAGGAATGTAGAGTGGTTCTCTCCCCTTACAATTGTCACCAATTAATGAAAAATATGTCTCATAAGACCATCTCCAACGGTTCACTAAAATTGACATCAAATTCAAATTTTGATAAAAAAGTTACTGTTTAGTGTTTCAACAGTTGTACCAAATCGATATCAAATTGAGATTTCATCAAACAATTCATCAAACTGAGAGCAAGATACTAATTTCACCAAAACACTGTTTGTGACCGTTGGAGGAGGACCCGGTCGACCAACCGGTTGCTCGGCCGGTTGACCAACCGGTCGACCGATTTCCTTTATAATTGGTGGGTTTAAACCGGTCAAAAAAAGTTCAAACAGGTAAAAAAAAAAAAAAAAAATTATTTTGCCTTATCGGTTGACCGGCCGGTCAACCACTCCTGGTTCTTGACAATGAGGCTTTGTATGACATTTGCTTCTATACCTTGAAGCTCACCACTCCTAGTTGTAAGTTTTTCTTTCAAACTTTAAGCCGTGAATTGTGGGTTTGTTCTCTGATTTGACTCAGATTGCTTACTAATATTTATATGTTTTAGATTAGTGATTTCATCTCTGATTTTTAACCATCTATGTCTAGGAATTAGTTGAGGATATTTCAAAATATAGGTCTTCTCTGCTAAATTAATTAGGTATGAATGAAAGTTTGATCTTTATATATCCAGAAAAAGTTTTGTTGCTCTCAGTCAGCATCATCCGATCTGGGTACTTTGCAAAACAAAAAAAAAAAATATTTACGCTTACCGATCGACCAACCACGGGATTTGATATGGGATTTGATGCACCGTTGGAGCTAGTGATATCAGATTTGTATCATAGCGATCATTGGTTACAATCACTTGAATTTTGGGAGGTTAATAAACTCTTTTTTGTAGCCCCACATGCAAAGATCATTTTTTTTTAATCTCATCAGTACTTTACATTGAATTGATCACAATATAAAAAATTAGTTGCCAATTTATGACTTTTGGCTACTAAAAAATATTTAGTCGCTAATACCTCGTACTTTTCCCTACTAAAACATTAGTAGCCATTTATAGGACTTTTGGCGACTAAATACATCATGTTCACTGGTTAGCTAGTAAATCCGATAGTGTCTCACAAGGGAAGGTTCAAAGCCAAAAGCTACCTATCCTTTGCAGAATATTTCTAACTTCTGTACTCTCTGTATTTACATCATGTTGTTGCATTTTCTCTCTGTCAATTTCATTCATGTGGGGGATTGTTGGAAAATTTATAAATTTATAAAGAGGTAGTTGTGAATTGAAATAGACTCTATTTTGAATGAAAGGGTGTGACCTTTCATGGTGTCTTTTTGTTTTAAAAGAAGGGTCTCTATTTTGAATGAAAGGGTGCAAACCTTTCATGGTGTCTCTTTATTTTAAATGAAGGGGTATGTCCCTTCTTCATACCTTTTCAATTCAATTTGAATAGGTGCCAACAAAGCCTATATAAAGGCAGCCCCATTCTAATTTTGAGAATTCCGAAAATTCATTTTCCTTGGCTTCATTTTGCTCTCTCTTGCGTCTTTTATTCTTCATATTATTTTAGGGTATACAAAGAGAGTATAGATCGCAGGTTTAGTTCGCTGAACAAATTTATTTGAAGTGCTTCTATAAATTTGTGAAGATCATTGTATCCTGGGAGATAAACGCCATTCAACCGTAAGCACCGTAGCGGGGCGAATCTGTCTTAAGGACAGAGTGTCACACACTCGACTTGGTCTTAATTTTAATTCGGTTCAATAAATAAATCCGGTATGTTATTTATTTATTTTGTTTGAATTTATTTTCAAGTTATTTTATTTTACACAGAAGATTGTTCCAACAGTTTGTTCTCTGATTTGACTCAGATTGCTTACTAATATTTATATGTTTTAGATTAGTGATTTCATCTCTGATTTTTAACCATTTATGTCTAGGAATTAGTTGAGGATATTTCAAAATATAGGTCTTCTCTGCTAAATTAATTAGGTATGAATGAAAGTTTGATCTTTATATATCCAGAAAAAGTTTTGTTGCTCTCAGTCAGCATCATCCGATCTGGGTACTCTGCAAAACAAAAAAAAAAATATTTACGCTTACCAGTCGACCAACCGGTTGACCCACGGAATTTGATACGGGATTTGATACACTGTTGGAGCTAGTGATATCAGATTTGGTAAAACGAATCATTTTTTACTCAGATTTAGTGAAAAAAGAAGTTCACCGTTGGAGATGTTCTAACCTATGCATCATATGGATTGTAACAGTGAGATGTAAATCTCACATATTCGCAATTTAATTAAACAACAATTCTATGTACATAGAAATTAAATACAAAATGAGACGCAACTTTTTTTATAAAGGGTGAAATCTGCATGTGTGAGACTCATATGTGAGATTCACCTCTTATAAGAGAGTTATGTCTCATTTTGTGGTTAATTTATGTGTCCCTATCATAACTATTAATCAAATGGAACAGGTACACTATCTATTCTATATTCTCCAAGTATTTTTCCTCTTTACTAATATACAAACCTTATGAAGAAGAAACCCATATTGATACCGTCAAAGCCCAGCCCATCTTTATCTCATCCAGTCCATACGCCAAACATTCACTAAAATCATCAACAGGTAACATTGAACTTATTTATAATTTGAGTTTAAAAAATAAATTAAGAATAACATATAAATTTAAAAAATAATTTTGGAGAAATTACAATGAAAAAAAAAATATTTGAACCTTACAACAAAATAAACACTGAATTTTAATTTTATCAATTTAAAATCAAAATTTTAATTATTTTCAATATAAATCATTTATGTATTTAATAAAAAAATAATAATAAATAGAATTTTAATTATTAAACTCAGTGTAAGTGTGCAAAAAATGCACAAAAATTGTCTAAAATATATGTTTTTCTATTAATTTTATTTAAAAAATAAACAAATGATTTAAATTAAAATATTTAATACTCATTTTATTACAACACTCAAACTTTAAAGATTTTTTTTTATTATAATTTCTCCAATAATTTTTCAAACAAAGCGAGTTTGGTAAATAACACTCACTATATAAAGATAATATGGGACATTACCCTCTCCAATGGTAGCAGCAAAAACATGTTACAAATTATTTTTTTTTTTAAAAAATTTACATTTTTAATTATTAAAATTAATAAATTTTTTTACTAATTTGTATTTATTTTTTTAAAAACTTAGTGATTTGATATTTTTTCAAAATAATAATAAAAAAAAGAAATTTGGTCAAAATTATCTCATAATAAAATTCTACTGTGGTAAGGATAAATATAAAAAATTTTTATTGAAAAGTCCAACACATATCATTATTATCAAAATATTAAATTTTAAAATAACATAACTTTGGATGTACATATCAGTTTTTAATAAAATTAATATTTTTAGAATCTTCTCATCAATATTTATCAAATAAGATCCATGTTGATTACGAATTTAAAAAAAAAAAAATTATTGTCGTCGAAATTGATATAAATAATAAGAGTAACATGTTACTCCGGTTCACAGTAACATGTTATTCTGTCTGACAGTAACATATTACTCTAGTAATATTGTCTAAGGAAAAAAAATATATTTTATTTTGTCCCTAGTCAACTATGTATTTTCTCCTAAATGACTTATGAAACAAAATAAATTGACTTATCATTTTCACTAAAATTAAAATTTCTGTAATAAAAAAGTGAACCGGCGGTTTAGAGAACAGAAAGCAAGGGCGAGACGAACCGGGCGATTCAAACGATAAATCCACACTTATCTAAAAACAAGGGAAACTCAAGTGGGGTCCTCATCCTCCAAATCCAACGGCGGAAAATTCGTCATCTTTATATAATCTCGAGAGGGTTTGCAAACAACGTGACGCCAACTATAAGAAACATACTCATCCCCAAAACCTAACGCTTGTGCACTGGTGCAGTCGAAAGCTGCCCTCCCAGTATCTCTCCTCTCTCCTCCTCCTCTCTACGACGCCACCGGCGGAGATCTGCTCCGTCGTCCGTCGGATCTCCGACCTATCTACCCCCTTCCCTCTCCTCTATCTCTATCTATCAATCAAAAAAAAAAAAATCAATTTTTAGGGTTTGGTTTTCTAAATTTATTTTGATTTGCTGTGTTGTTTGATGCTTTCTAGGGTTTGGTTATTGTAAATAAGAGGAGAGGGAAGACAGAGAAAAAAAATCCAAAAAAAAGAGGGGGAAATTTGGAAAAAAAAGATAAGTTTGTTCTAGGGTCTTTTGGTTGAGATGGCACAGGTTCAAGTTCAGCCTCAAGCTGTGAATGCAGCTGGAAACCAGTTCGTGACGACGTCGCTTTATGTCGGTGACCTCGAGCCGAACGTGACCGATTCGCAGCTCTATGATCTGTTTAACCAGCTGGGTCAAGTTGTCTCTGTTCGAGTTTGCAGGGACTTGACTACTCGCCGATCGCTTGGTTATGGTTATGTTAATTATGCGAACCCGCAAGATGGTTAGTTCTTTGCTTCACTATTAATTAATTGCGTTTTGCTTAAATTGAAGCGTGAATTTATTTGATGTCTAGTTTCATAAATAATTGTGCTTTTTTGTTGGATTGTGTTAAATTGCTAGTGTTTATTGAAGGGGGATTTTGTATTGCTTTAGGAGTAACCGTAACGGACTAAACCAGTTGTAGGAAGGAAGAAATTTATTGATGTAATGCAAAATTGGTAATGTAGGAGATAGAGGTGACCATTTTAGTGAAGTGTTCCAAGTTTCGATTCCTGATTTACGTCAAGAAAACTATATTTCTACCGGTGGCCTAATAGCTTGTTTTTTGCTTTAATAACTTACTTTGGCTTCCTTATTACTCATTGAGGAGCAATGTTGGTAAGTCTAGTTAATGCTGATGAACAAACAACTGTTTGAATTCAACCATTTAGATGAAAATATGGAATTAGTGTAGCCTCCTCTTGGTGAGTCGAATAACGTTGTAGATGCATTGAGTAGGTGATCTTTATGGTTGACTGTGATGAGTACACAAGTGGTAGGCTTTGAAGAGCTGAAAAATTAGTATGCAACAGATCTATATTTTAGCCCTGTTATAGTTAAATTACAAGGACCATAAGGAAGAAGCTGCCATACGTAATGAAGGACCAGTTGTCCATTCCAAAGGGATCATTATAGGTGCAAATTATCAAGGAGCTTCATGACAATGATTTAGGGGGACATTTTGGTAAGGATAAAACTATGGCAATGGTGACTGAAGGCTATTCTTGGCCAAAGATGTACATGGATGTGGTGAAAGTTGGTTTGAAGGTATCAAATTTGCCAATTTGGTACTTCACAAAACACTAGTTTGCTCACTCCGTCACCAACACCAGAGACTCGTTGGATTCATATTAGCATGGATTTCATATTAGGACCTTCGGAGATAACAAGGGGACACCAACTCTATTTTTGTAGTGGTGGAATGATTCTCTAAAATGACACATTTTATTCTTTGTTGGAGTACTGTTGATGCCACATGCTACTGATTTATTCTTTAAGGAAGTGGTAAGACTACACAACATTCCAATTTCATTTGTCTTTGATGGAGATATCAAGTTTACGGGGCCATTTTTGGAGTACTTTATGGATGGACAAAACTCGAGATTGAAATTTGAGCATTTTCCATACTCAAACAGATGATTGAACATAAGTGGTCAATTGATGTTGAGGTAACTTTTTTAGATTCCCTGTTGGGATGGGAGCTATGTGAAGACGGGATTCTGTTATACCACAAATTGAATTTGCCAATAACAATTTAGTGAGCAAGACTAGAAAAAGAGTTCATGAGGAAGTGAGGCAAGCAATCACTATTAGTATTGAATCCTATGCAACAACCAATCAACATCTGCGAGCAAAGGATTTCGAAGAAGGTGATATGGTGTTAGTGAATTTGAGGCACATTCCCTAAAGGCTAAATTGAAGTCAAAAAAGTTTGGTCCATGCAAGGTGTTCAGGAAAATTAGCTCAAATGCATATATGGTAGACTTGCCACCTGAATTGCAAATTAGTCACATAAGAGGGAAAGACTTTCACACTATCTCAGATTATAATCAATCAACAGTTCCATGACCAAAAAGTTACTAGGGCTCAAGTTATTTACTGAAGTGGTGACAATCCCACCAAACCCACTATCCCAAACTCTCTCTATAATCCAACCCTGTACTACCTATTGTCCGGAGTTATCTAACAAAGGTGGTTGTTGGCACATCCATTCTTCATCGAGGCTAATGAAGCACATACACCTCTGCGGAGGTCATAGATAGATGTCCTATACGTGTCGGACATGCTAAAACACACTAGCGATACGCTAAGGAAATTAAAATTTTTAATTTTCTTTATTGCAATAGCATATTAAGGTTGATAAATTTGATGAAATTAAATATTAAGATTTAACGTAAAATAAATATAAAATATTAAAAAAAAATGACATAATTAATATATAAAATTATATGTTTTGCATGTGTTCCCAATGCGTTGTCCCCTGTATTTTTTGAAAATTTGTGTTCATATGTCTGTGTCATGTCCCGGGTCCATGTCCATGTTGCTTAGATTGAGGCCATTCCAATATGCTTGGATTTTGTTCAAGCTTGTGAACTTTCCCCGCTCATAAAAGACGAAGTTGGGGTCAAAAGGAATCGAAGTTGTCAGCCAAAAAGACAGGGCTTTGACAAAACATGACACTAACGCTGTATTTGGTTGGGAGATTGGAGGAGTGATTTGGAAAGGGAAAGGGAAAGGGAAAAGTTAGGTGAAATGTGAATAAAATATACCTACATTTCACCTAGTTTCACACACTTTTTTCTTTTTCCTTTCTAAATCCCTCTCCAAATCCCCCAACCAAACACAGCATAAAGTAACCACTTTTAGAAAGAATGAATTTCCTGCGAAAGGATTGGATTCTGTCTTTGGTGGTCTTTGAAAGCGGAACTGGCATGATAGCCAATCCAGCAAGAAATAAACCTCCATTAGGTTGTCAATGTAATATTCGTCTTCCTTAGCCTAATAAACTTCCATTTGAATTGCGAGGATTTGGTGTTTTTGGTTGTGGTTACTCAAGGGACAAGTCCTTTTATTCCTTCTCATGAACCATGGGAGCACTATGTTTTTTAGTACATCCATAAATCTAATGGTGCATGTGCTGATAAGAAATGGCAGCCTGTCTCGGAAGGCCAACAGAGCAAACTGACTTGATGGACTTGACTTATCAATAAAAGGTTATAACATTCATTCCAAAACTCATAAAGTTCGAGGTCCAAAAAAATTATATTCTTATTAAAACTGCCTATGTATATTAAGAAACAGGATCCAATACTGTGCAATAGGAGCAGGTTTTCAATATATTATAGGTTGTCAATGTAATATTCGTCTTCCTTAGCCTAATAAACTTCCATTTGAATTGCGAGGATTTGGTGTTTTTGGTTGTGGTTACTCAAGGGACAAGTCCTTTTATTCCTTCTCATGAACCATGGGAGCACTATGTTTTTTAGTACATCCATAAATCTAATGGTGCATGTGCTGATAAGAAATGGCAGCCTGTCTCGGAAGGCCAACAGAGCAAACTGACTTGATGGACTTGACTTATCAATAAAAGGTTATAACATTCATTCCAAAACTCTTAAAGTTCGAGGTCCAAAAAAATTATGTTCTTATTAAAACTGCCTATGTATATTAAGAAACAGGCTCCAATACTGTGCAATAGGAGCAGGTTTTCAATATATTACTTTATTCATTTGGCCCATCTAATCAACATTGTGTACTATATTCTCGACTGTAAAAAGAACTAATCCTAAAACACATGAAGAAGAAAGAATTCACAAGCCAAAAATCAACGTATTGTCAATATATTTATTCTAGTATTTCTTTGGTTTTTATTCTTGAATGCTATTGAGCTGCATGTGAACTTTTGCTCATGGGACCATGTTGCTTTTTCTTATTGGAACTGAGAAGGGTAATTTTTGTCCTGAACTGTGTACTTATATAACATTTTTTGGGCCCCCCCTTCCTTCCGCCTTGCATCTTTAATCTATGTTGATGACAGCTCTAAGGGCTTTGGAGGTGCTGAACTTCACTCCTCTGAATGGAACGCCCATTAGGGTAATGTATTCTCATCGTGACCCTAGTATGCGCAAAAGTGGGGCTGGTAACATTTTTATTAAGGTATATATATTTTTTCTTCGCTTCTTTTGGTTTTATCGGATTTGAGAATTTTCTTTGGGATTCAAATTTGTTTTATTTTGTGTTCTGACCAAACACGTATATTTTTGTATTGGCAGAATTTGGACAAGGCTATTGACCACAAAGCACTGCATGATACATTTTCTTCGTTTGGAAATATTCTCTCTTGCAAGGTAGCTACAGACCCCGCTGGTCAGTCGAAAGGGTATGGGTTTGTGCAATATGATAGTGAGGAAGCTGCCCAAAAAGCTATTGAGAAGCTTAATGGTATGCTGCTGAATGATAAGCAAGTATATGTGGGACCCTTCCTTCGGAAGCAGGAAAGAGAAATGGCATTGGACAAGGTAAAATTCACCAATGTCTTCGTAAAGAATCTATCAGAATCAACAACAGAAGAAGATCTGAAGAAAATATTTGGTGATTTTGGAGCAATCACTAGTGCTGTGCTGATGAGGGATGCTGATGGGAACTCTAAGTGCTTTGGTTTTGTCAACTTTGAGAATGCAGATGATGCTGCTCGATCTGTTGAGTCTCTTAATGGACAAAAAATTGATAATAAGGAGTGGTTTGTCGGGAAAGCACAAAAAAAATCTGAGAGGGAACTTGAATTAAAAAATCGATTTGAGCAGACTGTAAAGGAGGCGGCAGACAAATCTCAAGGGCTAAACCTGTACATTAAAAATTTAGATGACAGCATTGGTGATGATAAGCTTAAGGAATTGTTCTCTCCATTTGGCATCATAACTTCATACAAGGTTTGTATCATCTATATATTGTGTTGGAAAGCGCCAATGTAGTTGGCTCGGTTTTTATATTGGTTTATATTTACTGCAGTTTTATTGTTTCAATATATGAACAGGTTATGCGTGACCCTAGTGGAGTAAGTAGGGGATCAGGATTTGTTGCATTTTCTACTCCTGAAGAGGCATCTAGGGCTGTGAGTTGATATATAATTTGCATCTTAAGTAAATTCTTGATAAAATAGCTGCTGATTTTTGTTTTTGTTTTCTTTTGCATGTTTAAATTTTTCCCTTTGTTGTTGTTGTTGTTGTTGTTGGTTGATAGCTATTGGAGATGAATGGCAAGATGATTGTTAGCAAACCTCTTTATGTTGCCCATGCACAACGAAAAGAAGATAGAAGAGCAAGATTGCAGGTACATTTTTTCCTTGATTTTTTTTAACTTACAAAGAAGATGCAGCAATCGGGGGCGGTCCCCAACCCTTTCAGGGGCTTAAGGTGAAATCTCCAAGTGGGGGGCCTTTTTGTATTTTAAAATTAATTTAGGTTAATATTTATAAATTTTTTACATTGCAATTTTTTTTTATCTGAAGTTTGAATAATTTTTTTACATCTTTAATACTTTTTCTGTATTTCTGTATTTTTTGAAAAAAGAAAGCTATCTATGACAACATCAATACGAATTGAATGACTTTGATTCCTAATTTATTTATCAGAAAATAAAATAAAATAAAATGACTTTGATTGCAAACTTTTACTAACCGAATGGGTGGCAAAAAATATATCATACCAAAAAATCATGTCCAATTAGAGCTACACTTAAAACCATTAGCTAGCAAAAGTGCACCAAAAGTATCTTCTCTATTTTAGCTATCCACTTTTCACAATATATCCTCCAACAATGCTATCTATTTTAGCTTGCCACTCTCAACAACTATTTTTTTGGGGGGGTTAAATTTACACTCTCCAAGAAGAGAGGAAAAGGTAGAGAGAGAGAGAGGGGGATGAAGATAGCTAAAATGGCCCATTTGGATAGCTTGTTAGAGTTGCCCTAAGAACTCAAATTTTCAATGTCATATATGCCTAAACATTTAACGGTTTAGCTTCATTTCTTGTTTTAGGATATTCATTAGTGTTTGTTAATTGCAACAGAACTTCCTTTTTTTGGCAGCAATGATGACACATGAATTGATGGTGCTTTAATGGATCTATTTTGTTGTCTTTGACACGTCTATACGTGGAAAAACGTGGTTGGTTACATGAAAATGGTAATTCTATTGCTTGTGCAGGCCCAATTTTCTCAAATGCGTCCAGTGGTGATGGCACCTTCAGTTGCTCCTCGTATGCCAATGTACCCCCCTGGTGGTCCTGGTCTTGGACAACAGATATTTTACGGACAAGCTCCGCCTGCTATCATACCTCCCCAAGTAATCCTATTATTTATGGTTGCTATTATATTGCATGTTTAGTCATATCATATCGTCATATCATGTGAATGTTCAGTACTTCTGTTAATTGAAGCTGGTGCAAAGAGATACTACACATCCCTTATTAGAGCTTCAGTTAATCCTTTATACAGTCTCCATGCTTGATGATTATAATGCATATTGAACTGACTCAACAGTGTTAATGCACATGCAATGTTAGGGTGAATATTTGTTGAACTGGTGAACTATCCCATGTCTCTAGCTAGTGTTGCACTCTTATTCTCTTCACCCATTTGTCAGTTGCTTTATAAATTGGAGGCATTTGCAGTCAACCCGGTTTGAAAATTCTAATTTGAGAGCTAATTTTCTCTTATTTTGCACAGTGTAGAACCCCAATTCACAAATACATTATGATATTGGTTATAACTAGCCAAACTCTTTTCACAGACCAGATGGTCGTAAAATATGGCTTCGGGGACAAACTTCGTAAATTTGAGCAATGGGTGTTTGAAAATTATTCATTCTTCTCTACTTATCAAATTTTTTCTTAAAAAAAATCCTCGCTCTTCCCAAAAAGGACATTCACTTCTACTTTGTAATTGCATTGAATGTAGCTACTGTGATGCTATGGTATATTCAACTACATTCAGTAGTGTTTCTTCAAGTCACCTGACAGGATAGTTTAAATAAGGGCGACTCAGCCATTTTTTTTCAATTTACGCGCCATTCATAAGATCACTATTTTGACACCTATCTGGAATTTTGCGATATGTTAATATTCTTCTTCATGAAGTTACAAGTTCAATCTTCTATGTTTTGTCCTTGAAATGACTGGGCGTGTATGATATGAGCAGTATTTTATAACCATAGCATGTTGGTAACGTATTTTGTTTGCTGGTATTTAAACTTTGTCAGCCCGGTTTTGGGTATCAGCAGCAACTTGTACCAGGCATGAGGCCTGGTGGGGGCCCCATCCCGAATTTCTTTGTGCCAATGGTTCAGCAGGGTCAGCGTCCTGGTGGCAGACGTGCAGGAGGTGTTCCAGGGCAGCAGGGGCAACAGCCAGTTCCACTAATGCAGCAACAGGTATCACTTATTGATTTGCTCCCACTTGTTTGAGTTTCATATTCACGTTTATTGGACTTCGTTTGATGGCTTGTTTGAATGATAGATGCTTCCGAGGGGGCGGGTCTACCGTTACCCGCCAGGGCGTGGCATGCCTGATGTTTCCATGTCTGGTGTTGCTGGAGGCATGCTTTCCATTCCCTATGATATGGGTGGCATGCCTTTGCGTGATGGGGGAATGTCTCAACCAATTCCAATTGGTGCTTTGGCTACTGCCCTTGCAAATGCTTCTCCTGCTGACCAGAGGACGGTAGGCATTTCTCTTGTGGTACTTTTTTCATTTGTTTGCAGGGTTTAGGGAATTAGCAGGGTAGCTTTATGCTTTAATATGTTTTAGTACAACTATATTCTTATACGAAGAGGCAACTTAAAGTTGTTTGGAGTTCTCTCACTTATCAAATTCATCTGGCTTTAGTCAACAGAATAACATATTTCTGATGGTATTATTACTTGAATTTTTTGGCAGTGTTTGAAACAGTAATGGCTCAAGGGGCAGGCAGCGTAGGTGCTTGCCTAGGGCCCTGAGTAGAAGGCCCCACTTATTATGCCATACATGTAATGTGTATACACAAAAAAGTATCGGGAATAAAAAATAAATAAAAAAAACTAACAAAAAATGTTTGTAAAATAAATAAATAATGGTCAAATTTTAAAATATAAAAAAAAATACCAATTCATCAATATCATGATCTCTCCATCAAATCAGAAAGAGAAACATCTTTCATTTGATGCAAAATGGTCTTGTCACTATATTATACCCTCTTATTTTCTTATCAAAATTGTAGCATATAGGGCCCCACTAAAAATGATAAAAATTGTAGTAAAAAAATTATAAAAGTTCCCAATTAAAATTTTTGCCTTAGGTCTTAAATAAGCTTTAGCCGAAATGCTACCATTAGTAAGATAGACAGTTAACTCTGCTACATTTCGTTATGGCAGAGGTCTTTCTGATGCCTTCTAATCCATGTACCATGATGATGATTAGTGTTGTTAGTACGATGACAATAGTGTTACGGATGAATAACTGAAATGTGTGTTGGGTGAACGATTGCAGATGCTGGGTGAAAATCTGTATCCACTTGTGGAACAGCTGGAGCCTGAGATGGCAGCGAAGGTTACTGGCATGCTTCTGGAGATGGATCAGACTGAGGTTTTGCATTTGCTGGAGTCGCCTGAAGCTCTGAAAGCCAAGGTTGCGGAGGCTATGGAGGTCCTGAAGAATGTTCAGCAGCAACAGGCTAGCAATCCCGCTGATCAATTGGCATCGTTGTCTTTAAATGATCGGCTTGTTTCCTAATTGTTAGGACATCAAATTTGGAGTTTCTGGTTGATTTTGAGGACAGTTTTGTGTCTGAATTTTAGAATGGTTCTAAGTGAGTTTCTCTTGTAGGGAATGCTTTTGTTTTTGCATGCAATTTGTCACTATTTTGAGTGGTGTTTTGGATATTGCGACATTTATGCTTGTGTTTTGCCCTTTTTCTTGTGTGTTTGTGTGTGGCTTTCAGAGGTTATGCTTGTGATGAGCTTTGGACTCCATGGCTTTTGCTGTTTTTATGGGGAAGAAACAAATCCAGTTGTAGGGTTCTTTTTATACCTACAGTTGCAAACTTTCCCATGTGAATCATAGATTGTATGTGAATCACAAGATGGGAATGCCACTATGATGGAGGTGGTAGGAGAAGTTATTCTGTGGTCTTGAGGCTTGGGGCAAGATCATGTAGTGTTCCAGATTCATTTTCATATTGGTTGTAACAGTGGGCTCCACTGGTTTTATCTTGGATTTAAGAGATAATGTGTCAATTTTTATTGGTTAGAACATTGAGCTCCACTGGTTGTATCTTGGGTTTAAGAGATAAAATTAGGATATGTGTCAATTTTGAAATGGTGTGAAATAATGGTTCTGGACTATGCAATAATTTTTCTTGAAATAGAAGTGAAGATTAGAGATTTTTCGGTTATATTTGGATGTTGAATTTGAATATGAATCTAGTTTTTAAATAATGTTTGTTTATTTTTTTCAATAAATGTTATAAACTAATGTGGTTATAGTAATTGGATCAATTTTATTTTTTTTTATGAATAATTTGTGGTATAATATAGAAAATGTAATTATCAACTAATTAAGATTACAGAATGGAAAAGTCGAGTACCATAAATTGATTTGTTGTTTTAAGAAATGATTTTGATTTGGTCCCTTTGTGTTTGGTTGAAAGATTTGAGAAGGGATTTAGAAAAGAAAATGAAAAAAGTTGATGATTGGATCAATTTTATTTTTTTTTTATGAATAATTTGTGGTATAATATAGAAAATGTAATTATCAACTAATTAAGATTACAGAATGGAAAAGTCGAGTACCATAAATTGATTTGTTGTTTTAAGAAATGATTTTGATTTGGTCCCTTTGTTTTTGGTTGAAGAATTTGAGGAGGGATTTAGAAAAGAAAATGAAAAAGGTCGATGAAATATGAATAAAATATACTTATATTTTATATAATTTTACTCGTCTTCTTTTTTTTTTTTTTCAAATCTCTCCCTAAATTTCATAACTGGATACAACATTAGTGTAAATATCTCTTGTTAATCATTCTGCAGGACACAACGGTGAGCCTTGATGGTGTACACTCTTGAACTGGAAATTATAACCCAAGCAAAAGGAAGAAACAGGAGAGGAAGAGTTTAGGAAAGCAATGGAGAAGATTTTATATTTTTTAAAATTTAAATAATAATAAATAATTTTAATTTCATATATGGTTAAATTTGGAAAAAAAAAAGAAGATTAATTGATGTAGGGTTTTTTTAATTGTTGAATACATATATTAAAACTTTAAACGAACAAGGAACTTATTACATCATAAATTAAAAAAATAAGTAGGCAATTTTAGTACTTGTGATGTGATATGTTAATAGTATAATGTTATATAGAGTACACCATATCATTTTAGTTTTGTTTGGTAGAAGTCATTATTCGAAGGAATAAGCTAAAGGAGATAGGCGAGGTAAGCAGAAGTCAGAAAACTCTGAAGCAGTGGAAGCACAAAGAGGGAAAGACAGAGATTTCTAAAGTCTATAATGAATTTACGAAAAGGGGCAGTTTTCACATCGGCAGTAGCTGCTCTTTCACTATCCATGGCCAGCAAGTCTAGTAGAGGATGTCTACGGATATCAGAGGTAGAAGCATCAATTCAAATTGGAAAAGTCTTGGGAGTAGACTGTGATGGAAAAGAGGGGGAGGTGATGAGTAAGCTAGAGGAACAAAGAAACAAAGAGATCAAACATCACAACTGAAGTAGTAAAATCCATCTGGTACGAAGATCAGTTCGAGTATATGGCAGTAGATGTGGAAGGCAGAGCAGGTGGGTTGCTCTGTGTATGGAATCCAACGGTGTTTCAAATTCATGAGTGTTGTGGCAACCGAAATTTCATCCTAATGTCAGGTACTTTATTTTCTTCGTTTAATTGTGTGATTGTTAATGTCTATGGTCCAACAGATGTGGCCAAAAGGCAAGAAGTTTGGGCAAATTTTGCTCGTTTGAAGGCTTCTTTCTTGGGGCCATGGTGTATAGGGGGTGATTTCAATGAAATAAGGAATGCTGATGAACGAATTGGGTGCTCTAGAAGAGACCAAGGAATGAGGGACTTTAACTCTATGGTAGAACAACTAGAATTGATTGTCCTACCAATGCTTGGGAGGAAATTTACCTTGTGCAATCCACAAACACTTGAGAAATGGAGTAGAATTGACAGATTTCTTCTGAATTATGAGTGGCTCCAGAATTTCAATTCTAAGTTATGGGGCCTTCCTAGGTTGGTATCTGATCATTGTCCTATAATATTGATGGAGGATATTAGGGATTGGGGTCCTAGATCGTTTAGATTTCTAAATGCTTGGGCCAGCCACCCTAATTTTGTAGCTTTAGTGAAGCAAACATGGTCAGAATCTCAAGTGGAAGGGTGTGTTGGTTACAGATGTCTCATGAAGCTCAAAGCCTTAAAACAAAAATTGAAAGTGTGGAACTCTGCTGTGTTTGGTAAGGTTGAATCTCAGCTTAAGGTAGCTGAGGAGGAAGCCCATGCCATTGAATTAATTGCAGAAAAAAGAGCTCTTCTAGGCAATGAACAAGCTAGAGGCAAGAATTAATGGGTGAAATCTGGAGGTTAAACAAACTGTTGGAACGGATCTGGTTGCAAAAGTCTAGAATCAATTGGGCCACACAAGCGGACAAGAATGCAAGGTATTTTCATATAATGGCATGTAGCAGAAACAGCAGAAACTCATTGTGCTCTATTCAGGTGAATGACTCAATGGTGGAGGAGCCTCTGGCAGTCAAGCATGAGGTGAAGAAGCACTTCAAGAACCATTTTTCTGAACATTGGGCTGTTAGGTCTAAACTAACTGGCCAGTTTAAAAACATAGGAGGCAGTCAAGCAATTTGGAAGCAAAGTTTACTGAGGAGGAAGTGAGGCATGTTATTAAGAGTTGTGCAGGCAACAAAGCACCTGGACCTGATGGTTTTAATTTGAATTTCTTTAAGAAATGTTGGGGAATAGTCAAACATGAGGTAATGCATTTCTTCAGTGAGTTCCATCAGAATGCCAATCTGGTTAGCAGTTTAAATAGCTCGTTCATTGCGCTAATACCCAAAGTGGAGAGCCCATCAAGCTTGAATGATTATAGGCCCATTAGTCTTGTTGGCTCCCTATACAAAATTTTGGCTAAAGTCTTGGCAAATAGGATGAAGCAAGTAATGCCAAGAATTATTAGTGAGACTCAATCAGCATTTGTGGGAGGAAAGAACATTTTGGATGGGGTCCTTATTACTAATGAGTTAGTGGATGGGTGGAGAAAATCGAATAAGAAAGGTTTGGTGTTGAAACTAGACTTTGAGAAGGCTTATGATTCCGTTAACTGGGATTTCTTGTTCAATATGTGCTCTAATTTCGGATTTGGGGAAAGATGGGTGAAATGGATGAAAATTTGTGTAACCTCCACAAAAGTGTCAGTTCTAGTGAATGGCTCACCTACCGAGGAGTTTTGTCCACAGCAAGGGCTCCGACAAGGTGATCCATTGTCCCATTTTCTTTTTAATATAGTTGCCAAGGGTTTGAATATCTTGTTTGACAGAGCCAATGATGTTGGTCTAATCAAAGGTCTTGTCATTGGTAATCATGGGGTTGAAGTAACGCATCTGCAATTTGCTGATGATACAATAGTGTTCTGTGAAGCTGAGTGGGTGGAAGTGGTGACTATTAAAAGAATACTCCGATGTTTTGAACTAATATCAGGGCTGAAAATTAATTATAATAAGAGTGTGATTGCTGGTATTGGCATGGATGAAGAGTTGATGCAAGCTTTTGCTTCTCGATTAAATTGTACACACCAAAATCTGCCTCTAAAGTACCTTGGTCTACCTCTCGGAGCTAATCCTAGCAGGAAGAGTACTTGGAAGCCAGTCTTGGATAGGTTCAAAAAGAAATTACCTACATGGAAGAGAAGGTTGCTTTCGTTTGTGGGGAGACTGACTTTAATTAAGTCAATCCTGAGTAGTTTACCTCTTTACTATTTGTCATTGTTCAAAATACCAGTGGGAGTGGCAAAAGAAATAGACATAATCCAAGCAAATTTCTTATGGGGAGGATCCGATCTTAAAAGGAAATTGCATATGGTTAGTTGGGAAGTCATTACCAGGAGCAAGAATTTGGGTGAATTGGGTATTAGAAGGTCCACAGATATGAATATTTTCCTTCTGCTGAAATGGTAGTGGAGGTTTGGGGTAGAACACCAGACTCTGTGGAAGGATGTTATCTGTTCAAAATATGGTATGGGGGTGGTAACTGGCTGCCGTACATGGTAGGAAATTTTAGAGCTTCAAAAATTTGGTCTGATATAATTTGTGCAGTTAGAACTTAGCCTGAGGTGTACAATTACTATTTTGAAAACATTGTAATCCAGCTGGGGAATGGTAGGAGAGCTCAATTTTGGTTAGATAAATGGATAGGCGAGGTGTGTCTTAAGTCTGAATTCCCCAGACTATTTTCTCTGTCCACTAATAAGTATGGAACAATTTCTAATTTTAATAATAGAGGTAGAGGGTCTTAGGAGTGGAGTTTGGAATTTAGGAGGCCTTTGCTAGCTTGGGAGAAGGAGAAGGTAGGTAGGTTATATACCTTCATAAAGTTTGCACCAGCCATTAGAGCCACCAACTTAGATGTTTGGCTGTGGAAGGCTGACCTATCTGGGGTGTTCTTGATTGCATCAACGTATAAGAGATGTGAAGTACTCTTGGGACCTGTTAGGACAATGGCAATGGAAGTCTGGCACAATTGTGCTCCACCCAAAGTAAAATTCTTTGGGTGGTTGGCTTGGAGAGGCAGTGTGAAAACAACAAGTTTCTTGTAGAGAATAGGGATATTAGAAGTGAATGCAAATGTGAGATGTGTCTTCTGTCAAGGGGAGAAGGAAACAACTCAACATATCTTGCTATGTTGTCCTTTTGTTTGGCGATTGTGGTCTCATATTATAAAATGGTGGGGTGTGCAATGGGTTATACCCAACTCTGTGGAAGGGTTACTGCAGTGGTGGCCTTTTTGTAAGATGAAAAAGAAGGAGAAGCTGATATGGAAAGTCATACCTTTGGCTGTCTGTTGGTCTACGTGGAAGCATAGAAATGAATGCGTCGTTAATGGTTCTAGGCCAAATCTGGAAGTTTTATGTGAGATTGTCAAAGCCAGAATAGCTTTGTGGGTTAAGGCATCTCCAACCAAAGTGGAATTTTCTATTAATGATGTAGACTTTAACTTGCAGCAGGTCCAGTTCTATATTAGGAATGAGAGTTGATGTTGCAGCAGTTATCTGTGCTGGTCTGCCGCTGTAGTTTATTGGCTATAAGTAATCTGTCCTCTAGGTGTTCCTGCTGGTGGTGTTTCTGCCTGGTCAGTTTGGGCGCTATTGTGAGCTAGTTTTGTATAGGAAGTTAAGGGCTGCAAGCCTTGCTGATTGATTTGGTGGACTGCTATGGTGGTTCCCATATTGCTAGTTGTTGAGGAGTGTTCTCTGCTAGTTAGGTTTCCATAAGGAAATGAGGCATCTGTTGTTTCTGTGTTTTTGTTGGCTGAAAGTACTCTGCCTACCCAAATGAGTTACTAATCTGAATTTGCTGATAGGTCTGTGTTGCTAATCTGTCATGTTGTCTGCTATGGTGATGTTGGGCTGTTATGTTGGGTTGCTTTGTTGGGCCGGTATATGGTCATGGTCTGAATTGTTTTAGTAATTGCTAGATTGTGCTCTTGCTGTAGGGAAGGCTATCTGTTTTGTGCCTTCTATGCTCATTTGTTGTTTGCTGAACTGATAAGGTGATTGCCAAGGTGACTACCAGACTAAAATTGGTCTGCATCAAAGGAGTGGTTAGGTGTATTGTTTGTCTTCACCTGGTGGTTTTGCCTGTTAGTTCTGTTTTGTTTGATTGGTAGTGGTTTGTTAGATGAAGTTCAGGCCAACAGAGGTTTAATGCTTGTTGTCATGTGTGCTTGTGTATTGGAAAACAAGGGTGCCCATCATATGGAGGAGACATTCAATCTGCTGGTGTTTGCAGCTATGCTCATGTCTGCCTAAATGAAGTTTGATGTTGAGCTCAGGGGTGCGGTACTCAGTTTTAGCTTTAGAGTTCAACTCAGATGAAATTGTGTTGTGTTCTTATATTGCCTTTCAAGCCTGGAATTGCTATGCTCTTAGGTGCTAGCAATGGTGATGCTCAAGTTAAGTGCATTAAGCTGTTACTGCTGATTCTATGGTCAATTTAAACTAGACTAGCCTAGAGTGCTTATCAATTTGCTGATTTTGCTATGCTGATTCTGTGATTAAAGCTGCAACATGCCTGGAAGTGCTCATCAATTTGCTGAAAGGTGAAGCTTGGCTAGGCTGCTTGAGGTTGGGAGCATCTATCTATGGGTGGAGATTATGCTAGCATAATGAGCTCAAGAACTGCATAATGAGCTCAAGAACTTCAAAATGAGATTGATCCTGGGCTGTGTTTCAGTTCTGCATTTTGATCTGAATTGGTGCTCTCTGGTGTGTCCGTATCAGATGTTGTTGTATGTTGGTCTGCTATGCTTAGGTACTAACATTGGTTGGTTGGTTGTTTTACCTCAGATGTCGCTCTGTTCTGTACTTTTTTTGTTGGTCTCTCACCAACTTTGGGGTGCTAGCAAATGATAAGAAGAGCTTTGTGGTGCCAACCTAGTTAGGATCATTTAGTTCATTGTCATGCTTTTGCACTTCCCTTTCATTTATTGATGTAATTTGTCTTGTACCTTGTACTTGTTTATTTCATCAATAAAGTTTCTTTTTTGCCAATCAAAAATATATACATATATATATATATATATAGAGAGAGAGAGAGAGAGAGTACCACATATCATTTTAGTCTTGTTTGTTAAAAGTTATTATCTTACGCTTTATTACTTTGATCTTCATGTCTATCTATTCATCTATACAAAGGTAAAAATGAAAAAAAAAAGAAGAAAACTTTTGAAATAATAATTTGTACTTATTATTAATATATTTCATTGATCATATTCTTATAACCAAAATAAATTAGTCATTGAATCTAATGCTAATACACTTATAAAAATAGATTTATCATCAATTTTTCTTGCCCACCAAGTTAATGAATATTTTTAAGAATATTAGAATAAATTATTACATGTCCAAAAAAAAAGAAAAAAAAATCAAATAAAGCCTTGATAGAATAATGATATACATACATAAGAATCATACAAAATTACATATAGAATGATATGACAATTTTAAACCAATGATTGAAAATAAAAAGCCCTTGAAAATACATTTAATTGCAAAACTAATATATTTCCATTTCCTTCTTATGCACAAGAATTTTGGTGGCCAGTGGCGACTCTAGATCTTTTAGAGATGGGTCACCTTACCTGCTCAAGTTTCACAAATTCTAAAAAATAAATTAATAATTTAAACTTAACAACATTTACGTCGTATTTGAATAAAGGCTAAAAGCTGCTAAAAAAACAAGTCATACATATCAGTCAATACATTTTTTCATACAACTAAAAAAAGTCATTAACAAATACATCTACTTTTTTCATCTTATAAAACAATCAAAAAGTTAA